TATATATAATTTGCATTAATGAAGATTTATACTGTGCCTGGGTTGTATTAAGCATTGTGCAGCTGTGTGTACATTGGGAATAAAATGATTTCCTCAGAAAAAGTCACGTTTTTGCTTATCTTTCTTTCCTCCGTCTGTGTTTCTGCAGGTAAAGTGTTGAACACGGACCTGCGCCACTACCTCAGTCTGCAGTTTCAGAAGGGCTCGCTGGACCACAAACTCCAGCAGATCATTCGGGACAACCTCTACCTACGTACCATACCCTGTAAGTATGCTGGGCAAGCTCCGGCTCACAGCGCTCCCGGCCAGCTGCAACATAAGCCCGGAGTGTACGGTCTAASCCACTTTCAGTGCATATGTGCTCTTATCTAAAGCACCTTATGGGAATAATTAGAATGCTCCAAATGCATCCCACAACTGGAAATCCATCACACAAGGAGCTGCATTAGAGCGCTCTCTTTCCATTAAACCGCTCTGTATACACACATCACAATCACTTACTTCACTCGTGAATTGTCATTCAAAGCTGCTTTTCATAGCCACTACAAAGCACACATGCTTAAGCGTCACCATAGCAGCACAGTCAAGGACATCTCTCGTTCCCACATGTAACTTATTTACTCCTGTACCTTATCATCGCAGTGATCAAAGTCATATTCTGTCTATAAATAACCCAGCTTTTGCCTCTTTTTTTGCCTCTGCTGCTGTGCTTTCTTTTGCTGACTCTGTACTCGTCGAGGCTGTCACCACCGATTATTCTTTTCCAAAATCAATAATGGGGCGGTAAATAAGGTCGGTACTGTGGACTGACAGAACGACTGCACAGAAAGGCGGCTGTGTTGGTAAGAGTAATTCAAACTAAGTGGAGCTGTTTTTTTTTAAACAGCTGTTGATCCAGCAGCCGGGAGAACATTTGCATGACAAACGTGTCCATTAATTCAGCAAAGTGTGTTTTTATGATGCGTCACATGTGCTTGGAGTGGCCAATAAAAGTGATTTTGTTTTTCCACAAGGAGAATTGTTTAACATAAAAATCCACTTTCTAAAAGAGGAACATTTGACRGGTGTTTTCAGTGTTTGGTTCCCAAAGTTGTGGTCAGGACCCACAGTGGGGTCCTGAAATRTCCAGGTGGGGCCCTGAAAATATTTTCTTAATTCATTAAACCAATGGTTCCCAAACTTTTTGTCTTCTGACCCACAAAATATCCATGGCAAAAACTTGTGACCCATAATATTACTGGTCTGAGTACTCAAACTTCGTTACTAACCCTAAAAACACAGGCTTTTTGACAATCTAAACAGCTT